TGAATTTCAGCGAACCATAAAACCAAAAAATAAAATGTTAACATTTTGCTTTATTAAAACGAGCACTTTAGAATTTTAACTGCACTTTTAGCAAACACAGAGCTTCTCTGGATATATATGTCTACTAAGCTTGTTTGGTAGTAATTAGCACTTGATATGGTATGAAATTTGTACTTTTCCGGAAGGAGTGTAGAGGAGTGGAGTGTGCAGATTTGACAAAAACATTTTCACAAAATTACAAGTTCATTAAAATAAAAGCATGTTTTGTATGCAGCAGCGAAGCGTTTTTATATTCCTGCAAATAATAATTTTAAAAAGGATTATTTTGCAAGGATAGCAAGCGCTACAATATGAAACTTTTGACATTTTCCACTTTCTACGCTATTTGATATGAAAATTAATGGGCGGTGTATAAAACTTGTTGGGAATTGTTTTATACGTTTTCGGTTTGTTTTTATGTTTACCGCATTTTATCGGTTAATTAACGTGTTTATTTAATATGATTTGGTTTATTACAGTTTATTACTTTTTACTATGTGTGGTGTGGATATGTGGAAACGTGGATACTACAAAATAGTCGACTACGCTCCTTTGCATACAATTACGAGCGAATAAAACCACGACAAATTATGGTTTAGAATAGATAACATTATAAACATATTATGTATATTTTTAGCTTTTATTAGAGTTTATTATAAGAGAGTAAGTATTCCTTTTAATTAAATTAAAAACTTTGTAATTTTATTTTCAGAATATTTCACTTTTAATCGTTTTAATATATTCGTGGCGTATCAATGTCAACATAAGAAAATCTAATGAACTCGAAGATGTTTATTATGGTAAGTTAACTACTGAAGTTAATTTAATAATTTTCAATTATAATTATTATAAAGCGTTAGCAAACATTTAAAAGTTTTTAAATAATCTTAAATTGACTTGCTAAAGACTTTGAAAAATATTTAAAAATAGTACTTAAGCCAAAAAATAAATTTTTAGCCCCATTTATTACCTCACTTAATAAGTCTTTGGTCCAGCTTATGCTTATATGGCAACATTGTTTTCATCACCATTTAATTCCTGAGAAATCGTATCCTTCAAACGATACGTGATAAAATTTCATGATATTCAGATAACTAATTTCTGGGTTACAGTGATAACCACAGTGTTATAAGTTCTAAAACAATGAAAAAGAAGGAATTTTCTGTGATGAGTTCAAAGCGTTATGAAGAGGATCTCCTAGATATATAGACAGATTTTGAAAGGGTTGGGTATTATGTCAACACGTCATTGCATTCTTTGGATATTATTGTAAGATCGGTACATGGATTCATATATACTTACTGAAGGGGTGAAAGTCAAATAGTCCTCTTGTCAGAAAAAAAAACACCATAAACATGAATAACCCAAAAACAAAGCAGTGAATCAAATTTTGAAGTCAGAGGCAATTACATATGATGTGCATTCCTAAGAAAATAGCATTGCTAAAAAAAATGTGCTTTTAAATAGATTCAAAATTGATGTTTCTAGTTAGATTATTACTGTCAATACATACGCCAATGAAGTTAAACTTCCTCTTTGGTATTACCCAATTTTCATGATATTTGGACAAAAAATGAGTATTTACTGCACTTTAATAATGTGTAAACAGTTTTCATTATGTTAGTATCATAAATAAAGCCAACAAAATATTACTTTAAAGCTTTAATGTAGCACTATAATTATGTAATCGTACAGAACTGGTATATACATATTTATATTTTAAGTGAATTAAGTGTACTTCTATTGAGAAGTTACGTATATGTTTAATATAACAGTAATGATTTCTTTAAATGAAATTATAAAATGCCTTTTACCACAACTTACTATATACCATATACTATTCATGTTACACAGTTGCTGATTTTGAGCACTCATTATACTTTATACTTATGACAATGGAGTAATTTAAATGTCAGATTTTCTATATATAATAATATTACTTATTCAAATATCGACTTGTTGAAACACAAAAAAATTTAAAGATTATTTGCACAATAAATAAATAAAGTCACATATCCGTAATCAGTCCAAAAGTTACCAAATGGGTAGCCACGTTTTCAACATACAAATCACGTATAGGAAAACAATTAAACTGCACACATCCAACTATTAACTGTAGACCAATAAAAACTCACAAAATTGCCAAATGAAGTCCTTAAACAATACCAAAATCGAAAGGATAAAATGACAAAGCAAACAATTGGCAACGAACTCGTAAATTTAACAATTATATTCTACACTCGAAAATCTGAAAGCAAACTTTAATGTTGTTGGGTGTTAGACCTTTACTACTTATGCCCTTGGCTTCTTAATATTTTGACAGTATCACAAAAGTCATATGTCCCAAAAGTATGCACGTTCCTATATTTTAGCCTTTATCTCCATTCAATTTAATTTCTATTTGAGTTCGTTTTTTCTTTTATATTTGCTTTGTGTTATCCTTTCTTTGACCACATAAAGGATTATGTTGGCAATATATTATCCGAATGTCAATTTAACTTCAACCTACACAGTGTACCATTATTCATTATCGCAGCAGGCAAGGACATTAGTATGTACCAGTGTTAAACATCAAACATTATAGTCAGAAGCACTCACACACAGACCCAACCGTACAATTATATTTAATCTAATAAACAAACATATATGGGAATATTTATGGAGATACTTATTGTGGCTTGGATATTTGCTATTCCTCTAGATATTCACACACGTTTTCACATAAAACTACTCGGCTTGGTATGTTATTTATATTTCATTTGTTTTATTTTATTCTTTCAGGTGTACAGATTGCATATTTTGCCATTATCGGCACACAAATGTCCATGATTATCCTCAGTGTTATCCTTCTTTATGGAATTTGCAAGGTAAGTCGTTGTATCAATATTTGCCAGAGTGGTTAAGTACACTAATACCCTTGTGATAAATCGTACCTTTTATTATTCATTTCATATTTACTTCTACTTTCAATTTACTTTTCTAACGTAATTAATTAGCAAGAATTATTTTATTTGAGTTGAATGGTAATGGTCCTTCAAATAGTTATTAAGTATATTACGAAATTATTTTCTTAGACTGTAATATTTATTAGACTTAGACAAATTGCAGAAAATGTCTTTGGAAGGATTAAATACTAAGTATTTAACAAAATAAATGATTAAATTTGAACAGAAATATACTTACATTTTTCAATAACATTCACATCTGAATAAGTAAAAAAAAAAATATGAATGAATTTAACATTATTTACATCTGAAATTTTTATAAAGTTAAATAAGTAACAATTTCTAGTGAAACCTTCAGTAGACTATTAACAATAGAGTAAAGACTTCACAAATTAATTTTTTATGAGAAATCAATAATCAAGTATTCCCATAGTCTGAGTGATAGATTTTTGTTTGAATGTAGATAGAAAGAATTACATTTGTCACTTGTTGAATGTATAATCAGTGAACGAAAACAAACTGTAAAGTACCAAACATAGTGTACTGTTTTGTATTTTTGTTCAAAAATTCAAAACGAACAGTACACTAAAATAGTCCTAAATACGTAAAAAAAATTTTAGAGTTTGTGTTCGCGAACTGTTTATTAGTATACTGTTTCTGGCACCTCCATCCTCTAAAAACTATATATTCCTACACAATAATCTAAATATTATATATGATATACAGAAATTCTTAAACTTTTTTTACTGTTTTAAACTTTATACAAATAAAACAAGAACAATGCACATCAAAAATGTTTCTTAATCATTTTGTTCGACAGACACTAAAAGAACACTAAAAATACACTACCTTCAGGAAATGATCGTTACAAAAGTTTACTAACTTCATGAAAAGATCATTAAAAACTTCACTATCTTCGTGAAAACAACACTAACGAGAAAATAACAAATTTTATAGAAGATGTCGGAAACAGTACACTAATTAAGTGTTTCGGCCATCTCGCTTTTGTACTGTTTCAAAAAAAATAAGCTTTTTTCTAAGAAATAGTAAATTAAAACTTTTTCTATGGTTTGTTATAGCTTTCAGCCGTCTTTTTAGTAATTTATGGAGTCCATGAAAGAAATGTTGTTTTAATGCAACCCATTCATTTTGATTTCTGCGTGACTTCTGGACTGCTGGTCAGAAAGAGCGTCATTGCATTGATTGGAATAATTAGTAAACTGATAAAGTTGCAATCTAGTGAATAGGAAGTGTGTGATAGAACTTTTCATTTAAGAGCTTCCAATATATTTTTGAATAAGTGATCCAAAAGTTTTGCGATAAGTGTTCAAGCA